TCTGCACTGCCCTGCTGTCGACACCCCGCTCGGTGGATGCGCAGGGGGGGGGGGGGGGGGGCGATGGAGAGGTGGGGGTGTGGGATGGAGAACATCTGGCCATCACCTTCTGAAAGCAACACTTTATCTTCCCAAATCCTTCCTTACCACCTCTTGTTCAAGCAGAATTCTCCCATTCAGTTGCCTCCACATCAAATGCACCAATCTTACTGAATGTATACTTTTCCTCGCTTGTTTTCTCCTAGACAAACTGTGAAGACGATCAGGAAGATGTCTACCACAGAGATTTCCCCAGAAGTAGCTGAGCCCTTTCAAGCCAACTGCATGGCCGTGAACAACAACACTCCTTTCAGTTTGGGTACGTCAAAGCCCGAAGAGCTGCTGCCCCCAAATGAGAGTGAAGCCAGGGGAAACTACTGAACTCTCAATCTCCTGGGGTGTTTTCAGTGTGTCTTCCTCCTTTTCCTTATTTCCAGTGCCTAAAGGAACGAGGTTCAGAGTGATATTTTTAACTGCAAGTTCTCATTCCTTCTGCTGGTGTCATAATATCGGATAACTCAGTTCAAGAATCTGCATTTTCACCTAACATCTTACACAGGCTGAAACAAGTGGCTAAGACCCATTGTTAAGAGACCTTGGATGAGAAGGGGAACTCTGGCCCTCTACATAGGACAGTAACAGCAAGCTGCTGTCTGCAGGTGTTGGGCCAGTTGTTCTAGACCTCAGCTGAACCCTACCTGAAAACCCATGAAGTGCTAGGACCTCTGGTGTTGAGAGAGAGCAGTACAGAGGGACCAGTCATCAACTAACTTGTTTATTTAAAAAAAACAAAAAACAGGCCCAGTGTGGTGGTGCACATCTTTAATCCCAGCACTCAGGAGGCAGAGGCAGGCCAAACTTATAGGATCTCTGTAAGTGTGGTAAGTATGAGGACAGCCTAGTCTATATAACAAGTTCCCGACAAGCCAGTGCTACACAACGAGACTGTCTCAAACAAAGAAAAAGAAAGATATACAATGAGGGCTCTAAATAATAAGTTTCAAGTGGAGAGGTGATTTTAACATAAATCTAGTAATTGCTTCTTTCCTTCTCTGAATAATACTCTAGTATATTATCAGAATACACTCAGGCAGAGAGGAGCTCGGGAGAAATTATTTAATTAAATATAGCAAGTAGAAGTCACCTCTGAAGGATCTCCAAGTTTAGTCCCTGGCTTAAAACTACAAACTCTACCTCAACAAGGTTTGCTAACAGCCAAACAAAACATTATCACATAGCACCTAAATAAAATGAGCTTATTTTTTTGATGGCTAAATGAGTTTGTTCACAGAAACTGCTTTCCATTCTGTTGCTCAGTCATATGAGTTTACAGTAGCTCTAATTAGAAACAGGTTTTTTTTTCCTAGCTATAGGTCCCAGGAAACGGGAAGAAAACATGCTATAAAAATTTAAGACCCAAACCAGGTGTGGTCATACACACCTTTAATCCCAGCACTGGGAGGCAGAGACAGGTGGATCTCTGTGATCTCGAAGCCAACCTGGTCCAGGTTGAGTGAGTTCCAGGCCAGCCTGGGGCTACAGGGAGACCCTGTCTCAAAAAGACAAAAAAAAAAAAAAACAAAAAAAAAAAAAAACAAAAAAAAAAAAAAACAAAAAAAAAAAAAAACAAAAAAAAAAAAAAAAAAAAAAAACAACAAAAAAAAAAACCCACAACCAAAACCTAAGACCTATCCACACAAACCACAGCAAAAAGACAGGAGTATGTTTTCCGACCCCAAACGACTTCACTAGCATGACAGAGACGCTGCATGCCCTCTATAGGCCCCAGCACCAGCCTCTAGGCCAGCCCATAGCCTCGGTGGCTATGTGATTTCTTCTTTTAGTATTCAACATACACACTTATGACTCAGGTAATGAAAATAATTTATTTGCCTAGGACTTTTCCTAAAGTAGACTTTAAACATATGGATACTTCATATGGATATACATGTGAGGAGATTCAATTAAGAAATATGAAAATATTCACTTATTAAATGGCTCTGATCTGGGAAACAGCATAATGCAATTATAAAATAGAATACTGGGCTAAAATTTGTACTGAAATCAATTTAAGCAGCTTTGTAACTGGTTTGAGGCCATGAAAAAAGTGGACATTTATTTGATCACTTGTAATAGGACCAAAAAGGCATGCATTGGACTCATAAAGCCAATACACTCAACCAAATTGTGCTTACTGCTGACCTCACACAAAACATTATGTCATGCTTGGGAGAAATCATAGGCATCTCTGAACAGAAGGGGTTCAAGGTCAATGCTGTCAGAGGACTTCATTCATGAGCCTAATGTCATTTTTGAAACTAACACATAAATATTAGAATACTAACACTTTTAAAAAGAACTGTCACCAGATTAAAGTTATGTCATAATTTTTAAGAATACACCTGATTTAATCACGTGCAGTTTTCAATTCAGTCATTTCAGTTACCCAGTGCTATCCATGTTAGACTCAAACATATTACTTACCATTACACCCATGATTCTGGGATTTATGATCAGTTTTGTTGCACTGAGAGTATCTGTTCCAACCACTGTTTTTTCTTTTCTTCTCTAAGTGGACAAAAGGCTGAACAGTGCACTCCCTTACAGTTTTTCAAACAAAACATTAAATAGAATTCTGATACAGAATTCTCTGATACATCAAGAGCCTGTGCTCTGCCTTCTGAAAAACCAAATGAAGAGCCCAAAGTCCTCCTTTTCCATCCAGCTATGACTTCTAAACAGCCTCTTTAGTTAATGAATGAGAAAGAGCAGGCCAGCCCAGTGCTAGAACAAGCTAAAATGCAGGATATCAGGCTTCTCCTGGTGACTTCTCAGTTCCAGAAACTGGTGGGGCTTTGCAGCAGCTGTATGTGGGTGCTGCGGTCATTAGGGACACCTGCAAGGGCCAGAGGTCTCACTGCCTCTTCTTAAACAGCACAGCACCAGAAAGAAATGCATCTTCCAAGTTAACTCAAGTCACATTTTTCTTACCAGCAGCTCCAAGACCCTGCACACATGCCCTGTATGTGTACAAGCTGCACAGTCTTCAAAATAACAGCACCAACCACACTGAGACTGAAATATCTATGCATTAAATACATATATTTTTGTTTGTTTTGAGACAGGGTATCCCTGCAGCCCCAGCTGGCCTGGAACTCACTACGTAGATCAGGCTAGCCTCGAACTCAGAGATCCTCCTGCCTCTGCCTCCCGAGTGCTGGCATGAAAGGCATGCGCCACCACGCTTTGCTTTAAATACATACACTTTGATGCCTTCGTTGTATCAAGACTTAAAAATATTTTGTACTATATTTTAAAGCAAGCACATTTTTCTCCCCAGACGCTTAGTGGTGATCATGTTGCTTGTGGCAAACGGTCTCACCTTCCATCTGGGTTTACAATCTTTGGGCCTCCAGTGGCCTCCTGGCTCAATCTCTAAGTCCTTGGAGAAGAGCCGATGAACTTCAGCAAAACTGACTTCACTCACGTTGACACTTAGGAATCCTCCTGCAAGTCAAAACATAGGAAGAACGGTTTTACTGCTTTTTGCCTAAGCTGCATGAAGGTCAAACATCAATCAGCAGGGTGATGGTAACTTGGTTACAGGACAATCTGGTTTGTTGCTGCTACTGCCACGTGATTATGTAACAGCGCCTCCTTCCCCTTCAGTGATCTTCATAAGGCCTCCTACCACACTTGAATACTGGCTGAAGAAAATGGGGTTCTTTAACATTTTGCCTTTGAGTGACATTTGCTATCTTTTAGAAAATGTTGCATGCCGTACTAACATTCTTACAATTTAACAATTACTTAAATATTTTTAAACTATTTGGGGATGCATGTTCACGTGTGTGTGCATGTGTGGATTCCACACACATGATGTGCATATGGAGGTCAAAGGACACCTTCAAGTCTGAATCCTCAGACATCTTCCACTGTTTAAGACAAACTCTCTCATTGGCCTAGAACTTTCCCAAGTAGGTCAGTTTAGCAGACCCGAAAGCCTACAGGGATCTGTCTCTACCTCCTACCTTGCCATTGCTGGGGTTACAGGCACATGCTGTCATGCCTGGCTTGTTATATGGGTTTAGGGAATCTGAACTCGGGTCCTCATGTCTGAGAAACATTCTACAGACTAAGCCATCTTCACTTTAACTCTTTGAACATAGGGGAGACAAAGTCACAGTATAAAGAGTTGCGTGAGCAGTTAGCAGGGAGCTGAGTCCTAGCACCTACTGGAGTCATTATTTAACATTGCTCTGTCTCAGCTTCCCCTTCTACAGAAGGTAACAATGCCTGTCTCCCACAATGATTGTCTCCCTCAGACTCAAAACTCAGAACCAGCCACTGATTCAACAGACCTCAGATTAAAAATATTTGGGAGAAAAAAGAATGTTGTGTAGAGATGTTTTTCTGTCATTATTCCCTGTACAATGACCTATATAGCACCTGCTCTGTGTTAGGTATTCTAACTAAGCTGGAGACGACTGAAGGCTTGAGGGGGCAGTGCATAGTTCTATGCAAATATGACACCATTTTATGTACTTGGGCATCCATAGACTGTGGAAAGCAAGGATCTTGAAATCAATCCCCCACAGAGGGAGGACAGTCACCTGTCCCCAGAGGGAAGGACCAAGGACAGGACAGGCAGATACATGCGAGAATATTAGCTACTACCACTGTTACTTACTGCGCCCCCCCCCACACACACACTGTCACCTTCCCCTAGCAATTCCGCTAGGAATTGAATCCAGGGCCCCACACAGGGTAACCATGTATAGTCCTACTGAGGTAGGATAGAAATATAAGAAAAAAAGTAGGGTACCTGGGAAGGGAAGGGAACAAGGCTCTTACCCTGAGAGCTATTTTGCATTTCCTATAGCTAAGAGTCAAGAAAATTCAATGTTACTGATAAAATAAAAATTGCCTCCAGAGATAGTGCTTCTTTTCCTAAAGACCTCTCAAACAAGAATGCTGAAAACAACAAATGATGCTTACTTGGGGTCAGGATGTTTGTGGACTTGAGCTGAACTGTATTAGTGCTACTCTCTCATCTCACATATACACAGTGCACCTCAGAAAACTGCCTTGCAATTTTATTACAAAAATCCAGTTCTTTAAGACAGATAAGCAAACCAGCTTCTATAGTATTTTTATCTTTCTGACTTTAATTTTTAAACCTTGTTGTAAATTACATCCTTCCAACAACATAACTTACAAAGCCCAGAGTCATAATGAAATGGCAAAACACACTCCACTTAGTTCTAGCTGACTTTTGCTTTAACCTGTGTTTTTGCCCAGCCATTCCCACTGCAGCCAGACAGCCCTGAAGACTACAACCTATAGCTTCAGGGAGTACATTGTTTCTACAGCACTGGGACACTTACAAGGAGCCAGATAGACCGTCCAGGTAGCTCATCCTACCTACCAGTTATACCTGCATCTCCACGGAGCCCATTGTTTCTGCAATTCTGAGAAACTTGTTTTTCCTAGCCGAAACTTTCTGTTAACTAAAAGCCTTTCTATAAAGTGACCTGCCCTTGGTCTGCTACAGCTATGGTGATCTGATGTAACTATGGTTATTGGCTTTGTGCCTCTCATGATGTAAATGTGCTTTTAAGCTTTATAAACCCTGCCCTGCTTCTCCCAGGGTGGAGAGTTCTTCTGGGTGTTGGCCCCCTTTCTGACTGCCAGCCATTCATAAAGGACTCCTTGTTCAACCATCACTATGTGGCCCTTCCTCTGTGCCTCTCATGCTATTACACTATATACAGCCATTGTAAAGAAACCTAAGTGGGCCTCTCCTCTGGAGACACTCTGTGTCTCTGTGGTGATTTCTCCTCTTTCTAGTTCTTTCTCTATCTCAATACTTAATAAACTCACTAAGCTAGTGCTTTATACTGGCTCATCCTGAAATTCTCTTCTGTAGTTTAGTCAACAATCCAGCTATGTCTGAGAAGAGGTCTCTATGGGTGAAGGGAATGTCTCGGGCTTCTGGCAACATGAACTGCTGGACTGCATTTCCCTGCACATTTACACTATTACACATGACACTATTACTAGCTAAACTCCCAGTCACTGGCTTGTTTGTTGTTTGTTTGAGAGTCAGGGTCTTATTATATAATAGCCCAGGCTAGCCTTTAATGCCCACAAGTGGGTTGGTTGGTTCTTGCAGTAATGGCAGTCTTAGGGCATCACACATGCTAGGTGAGTGCTCTACCTATGAGCTGTATCCTCAGCCCTACCCTCTCACCCTCTACGTCTTTTAATTGTGAGACAGAGTCTTGCCAAGTTCACCAGGCTGGTCTTGAACTTAGAATCTTTCTGTCTTAGCTCCCAAGGAACTTGGATTACAGACCTGCCCCACCAGGTGCTGCTCTGGCCTTGAACTCTCTATTCTCCTCCTACTTTACCTGCTGAGTGCTAGGATTACAAACATGCATCACCATGTCTGGCTCCCTGACACTTCTTTTTTCCTTTTTTATGAAAATTTTTAATTATGTGTATGAGGCAGAGGGAGAGCATGAGCCCATGGAGGCCACAGGCATTAGATCCTTCTGTTGTGAGTCATCTGCATGGGTGCTGGGAACTGAGCTCAAGTCCTCTAGAAGAGCAGTACACGCTCTTAATCACAGAGCCATCTCTCCAGGCCCCTCCCCCAACATTTCCTAAGAGGAAATTTGCAGACACAACCTGACACATTTCTTCTGAGTGCCTACCATGCTGCAGGCCCCTTGGTATACAAAACTGAAAAGTCATAGATTTCCAAGATGTCCTTGGTCTAACAGGCACTCACTCTCCAAAGTAACACACATTCTGCTGGGTTTTTACCAACAGCTCTTCCAGCCGTACCTCTAAAATGAAAATAAACCTAGATCTCTCTTAATATAGTTAAAACTGAAGTGAATACAGGAGGCTCTCCCTCCCCATTTTAAAGCAGTCACAAGATCACTGACTTTCCTTAAGGCCATGCTGCCCTGTATCCCTACAAAGGCTGGGAGGATGGAACCACAGGTCATCTCTTAGCAGTTAACTACCCTGACACCTGATAAAGTCCAAATAGGGATAAATTGCTCCAAAATCACCTGCAAAGTCTTCCCTCTACCCTCCTCATGAAATATGAACCAACAGAAGAAGTCAACGTCAAGACTTGAAGTTTCTGAGTCTTCTGGGCCTCTTGCAGCTACAATTTCACACAGGAAACACTGGGTTCCTACCCAGAGCGCCCTTTCCTCCTTTAGTCAGCACACTACCAGGTCTGCACAGGGCCTCCCCTCCCTCCTCTTCATCTGATTAAGAGGACTGTCAGAGGCTGCACGCAGCACTCACATATGCTAAGAAGTATTTTTAGATGCGAATGTTTACGCTTCCCAGGGTGAGCTAGGAAAAAACTGCCATCTTCTAATGCCGGCCTGTTCTCCCAATGACTTTATGGTTCGTCATAACCAAATACCCATCACCATTTGGTATGACAAAATATACAAATTAGCTAAACTTAGAAAGGTTAAATTGACCTAAAGGAACAAAAACTGTGAACTTGGAGAGAAAGGTAAGTCAAATGTACGAATAATCAGTCAACAGTAAGTATAAATTACTATGACAAAAACAAAAGGCTGGCGAAACAATCTAGCACTGCAATCAAATAAAATCCACACAAATAAATCTGATGCATTTAAAGTAAGCATGACTGCTCAAGTGACAGTGATCAGGCTAAGTAACAACGGCAGCCCCTGTAAGTAACTGAAGTTAGCACTACCACAGGTGTTAATCCAAACGCCACGCCTTTCTTTACTCTGGCTTACTCCTCAAGACTTCTTCCCAACATGCTTTGCAGTGTAATTTCCATCCCCAATGCCTATGCACCCCCAAATTAAGTCAGGCCTTTGTCTTTCCACCTGCCCATGTGAGAGGGCTTCCTAAGACACCCTACCTTCACCATCCCTCTGACTGCCATCCCCACACAACCCCCCACGGCCCTATGTGCTGACTGCTCTTTGCTCTGGAATCACTCCATGCCGGGTGAAGGCCAGAGGTGACCAGGTGACATGAAGCTGCCATTCCAATTACACAGCAGCACTTACTACCCTGGGGGAAGGAAACCAGGCCTCTAAGGCATGGTGGTCCCAGCGCAGACACCACAGGCACCCTCAGGGACATTATTTTTGGCTAAAACTTCATTGATTGGACCTGAGGCATTTTTGTCCATCACTTTATCTTTGCATTCCTGCTGCTCTCTGACTTTGAACCAAGCATGACTAAATGCTTCCACTATGTTGTCTTTTAAATGATCCCCTTAAACTAAGCATGCTCAAAAATGTGCTTCTTAACTGAGCTTAGAAATGGCACCACCCTCTATGAACATGTCTAGCCCCTAAATAAAATTTCCATGCTTTGTTGTTCCAGGGCACACTGCCTTGGCCATGACCCCAGAGCCTCTGATCTGCTGCAGGTAAGAAAGTTTTCTCCACTCTGCTTGTTTGGACTTTCCACTCACTGAAATGTGAAAT